AAAGTAAAGTAAAGTAAGTAAGTAATTAAGTAAGTAGAAGTTATAAGGGGATTTGTTGTGGAGCCGATTTCATTCGGTCTATTTTAATTTACACTATCAGTGTAATTTACCATGAACTAAAGTTATATCGATATATGTTTGTATGTAGATGGAGTTTCTTTCTTCACAATTATTGAGTAGATTTATTGTTAGCATACCCTTACATTTTACAATTCAATCGTTTCTAAACATCAACGAACAAAACCTCTATTCAACATCATTTTTAAGTCATTTCAGTCAGTCAGTCAGTCAGTTACAACGTAGGACCAGGCACATCCATCCATCGGTCTTAAGGCAACTTAATATGAGAAATATATGCTATAATAGATAAGTAAAGTGTTTATCTTAGAAATATTACCATCCATATATCAATATGAATCTTGTAAATTACAAATAAGCTATAAACAGTATGAAACGATATTTTAGAATTCAGATTCCCTCGACGCCTTTATCCTCTTCTTTGGCATAATCAGTTAACTAAAAGCTTAGCAACAAATAATCAACTAAATCGAACAGTATTACGCATTATTCTCAAACCTTAATAATTCGTAAGTATGATACTTAAATTAGCCCCTACTATAATTTATGAATGAACCAATTAGAATTAAGATAATAGATCTTGGATTTTGGCGCTAAACTGATTCATCCATCTGACTAAAGAGCATTTTGTCATTTTAGCTGATATCAGTTTTTAATGAAACATTTAAATCTAATTCTTCACCTTAACATTTCTCACCTTTCTTTTTCTCCTGGTGATCGAATGGATCATGAAGACGTTAACATCTGAGGGGAAGCATGGGATACAGTGGACAGCTATGATGCAGATGGGCAATCTAAACTTCGCCCTTCTGTCGCACCCGAAACAAATGCAGGAGAATACGAACAGTGCAACAGCAGTTTCAGTAGCAGTAAGTCTCAACATAGACAAACGGAAGAGCAAAATTCTCTGATACAACACAACACGCACTAATCGAATCACACTTGACGGAGAAGATTTGGAAGATGTAAGAACCTTTACATATCTAAGCAGCATCATTGATTAATACGGTGGATCTGATGTAGACGTGAAGGCACGGATCTACAGAGCAAGAGTAGAATATCTACAATTAAAGAATATCTGGAACTCAAAATAACTGTCAACCAACACCAAGGTCAGGATTTTCAATACAAATGTCAAGACAGTTCTACTGTATGGGGCAGAAACCTGGAGAACTACAAAAGCCATCATCCAGAAAATCCAGGTGTTTATTAACAGTTGTCTACGCAAAATACTTCGGATCCATTGGCCGGGCAATAACCAACTGTGGGAAAGAACAAACCAGATTGTAGCCGAGAAAGAAATCAGGAAGAAGCGCTGGAAGTGGATAGGACACATATTGAGGCAAGCACACAACTGCGTCACAAGGCAAGCCCTCACATGGAACTCTGAAGGCCAAAGGAAAAAAGGAAGACCAGAGAACATATTAAGTAGAGAAATGGAAATACATATGAGGAGAATAAATAATAATTGGATAGAACTGGAAAGGAGGGCCGAGGACAGAGTGGATTGTAGAATGCTAGTTGGCAGCTTATACTCGATTGGAGATAACAGGTATAAGCACGTAACATTAACTATCAACTACAAATTATAATTTTTGTTTTTTACAAAGATTTATAATCCTTATTTAACTGTAGCGTCACGAGGCAAGCCCTCACATGGAATCCTGAAGGTCAAAGGAAAAGAGGAAGACCAAAGAACACATTACGCCGGGAAATGGAGATAGACATGAGAAAAATGAACAAGAATTGGATGGAACTAGAAAAGAAGGCCCAGGATAGAGTGGGTTGGAGAATGCTGGTCAGCGGCCTATGCTCCATTGGGAGTAACAGGCGTAAGTAAGTAAGTAAGTAATGTAGATGGACATTCTAAAGATCACTTTTTCGTCACTCATTAAGTCGTTCCACCACTATAATTTGAAACCAACTGCTATACTTGTGTCAAAATAATAAGAAAAGGAGAGAAAAATACGCACACACACAGAGGGAGAAATGTAAATCATGTTAATGTTTTACTTCAATTTCATTGACATTTATCCAATGACAACTAGAAAAGGTGAAAACATTTAAGTTGAAATGATATTCATGTTACCAATTTTTTTTTTTTTGGTTTTAACAAACATAGAAACCATTAATGATAATAATGACTATTAGTAATTGAACAAACTGTAAGAAATACTGTTTATGGTATCGTTGGAAAATCAAAATTTTGTGTTACAAATTATCAGTAGTTTTATGTTGTGTGCTACTGATGTTGACACATATCAGTAGTATGTATCAACAAATCGAAAGTGAAATATAAGGAAGCAGAAGATTAAAGGAAAGTGAATGAGAACAAAGAATGATTGGTGTGAAAGTATGAGAAATTCTGCAAAATGAATTATTTCCTGTATGATTCTCAGATTTTACAAAGAGGTTGTATCATTTTGTATTCAAATACATTCTGGTTATCCCCACTTGTGTTGTCATTCAGTAAACTATTAAAAACTTGGAAACACTGGACGACTGTTTCATTCTTTATTGTCTATTAAAACGATTGGATTTCAGCTTAATGATGTAGAAACTTAACATTCAGTGCTACGAAGCTGTTTTACAATAATGGTTTAACAATGATTAATTCATGGTCGATACTTTGTAATTAAATAGGAGTCAATTAATCTTAATTATTTATGAATCTAATTGTTTTTATATAGTTTATATTCGAATCATTTCACATAACAACAACATCTTTTACATTAATTAAATTTAATCTTTTCCTTTATTCTACTAGTATTAGTATTGTTATTGATGATTTATATATACATACATACGTATAATCAAAGATGGTTAGTGGCTAACAGTGGAATCCAAGACGCTCGTCTCTTCCTATTTGGAACTCGTTAACTAGATTTACCTGCATCCCAGACTTGTTGATGTTCACTCTGGCACTAGAACACAGTACCATTCGCTTCAAACACCATCGCGTTATCCACTTAGCTATTGAGTCCTAATAGCCACTGCTAGACACTATCCATCTTTGTTTAAGAAGCTTATGAATTAAAACAACTGATAGAAAAGAAAATAGAGATTCCTATCCCAATAAATAAAATGAAAGAACTTCTCTTGAAATGCACTATGAATATCTACTTTAAGTTTAACAATGAATTTTTCCGACAAATAGATGGGGTAACAATGGGATCACCTCTAGGCACGATCCTTGCTAATATTTTTCTGACCAAACTAGAAAATAGACCGCTTAAAGACGTCCTAAATAAGCTTGATTATTACTGTCGATACATAGATGACACATTAATCATATGTGACGAAAATATCGACAAGCAGGAGATGTTAGACGCTTTCAATAATGTCCACCCAGCCATTAAATTCACCAGCGAGGAGGAGAAGGACAATAGCATTGCTTTTCTAGATGTCCGACTCTCTAGAAGGATAGATGGTTCCATAAAGCGAAATATGTTTAGAAAGTGTACATGGACGGGTCAGTATACCCATTTCCAAAGCTTCACACCTCTACAATATAAAATAAATTTGGTTAAGTGTCTCAACCACAGAATCAACTTATTATGTTCTGAAGACAGTGTGGAGGAAGAAATAGTTATACTAAAGAACACATTACGTAATAATGGCTATCCTGATAATTTCGTCAAAAAATACCTCGTACAAAGTATTAAAAAGAGAAGACATTGCGACACAGTCAGTAAAAAGACCTTATATCTGAAACTTGACTTTAAAGGCGACATAGCGGGTGATATTCTAACACGTCGACTCAAAAGATCTGTTGAGAGGACGTTTCATGCCACCAAGTTACACATAACTTTCTCGACTAAACCAGTACTCACACAACTAATCAAGGATAAGTTGCCGAAGATGGGCTCCTCCATGTGTGTATACCAATTCAACTGCTCCTGTGGAGCTAGTTACATAGGCCGTACTCAGAGGGCTTTATCCTTGCGTGTTCGTGAACATGTACCGGCATGGTTGGGAAAAGGAGTCACCAAATCGATTAACAGCACCATTCTTTCTCACTTGGTAGATAGTGAACATCATATCAAAATAGAGGAAGCTTTCTCTGTTTTATATCAAGTTCCAAAATATCTACCTCAAGGAGCTAGATTACGACTGCTTTACACAGCCGAAGTCATCTGGATCAACTCCAGAAGACCTAATTTATGCATCCAGAAAAAATATATCCAGCCTCTATGTTTACCCTGGCCCACGACTAGATCACCAAATACCTAGACTGAATATTATAAACCTCTTATCCCTTCCTTTATTTTATTTATTTTCCTTATTATCATTATTTGAAGTATATATATCTATATATCGTAACAGATGCAGACGTTCACCACTTTTAACACGTAACATTGTCAAACTCATTAAAACATGCCTTATTTTTGGCCTTTGTAAAATATCACAATCATTATGGACTTATAACTGTAGAGTCTGATGATGAAGTTATTGAAGCACAATTGTTCACTCAAATATTCTTCGTTTTTGAATATTCTATGGGAATTTTTAAACTGCCAATTAAAACTATATCGAAGCAATTCGCACAGGATACATATATGCCATCATGAAACGGATCAATTGCAGACCTGAATAACAATGGAAAGATACAAGTAAAACAACACCAATACATATGTATAGTTATGTATATTTATATATACCTCAAATCGTAAAATAACCTACTATGGATACATTTCTATTCTCCGCCGTCCCCCTTCTATCTTAGACTAATATTAATTAGTTAATTACATTTATTTATATATTTAATCATTGTTCCATTGTATCCATTTATTTTTCTATTTATCCTTGATTATGCATTATGATTGGTCAATGTGTGTAATAATGACCTTGAGAGTGACAATTTTATTTTTATAAGTAGTTAAGTTTATAAGTAACTGTGTTGATTACGATTATCATTATTAGTAGTAGTAGTGGTGGTAGTAAAGGTACAGTGTTTTATGTTTTACATCAAAATGATTCTCATTGCATTGAGGAAAAAATTGTTGTTAAACATATGAGACATAAAAAAGAAAGCAGAACAATCATAATGATAATGCATCGTCTGAATTATTCATACAACTTACAATATATAGTTAATCTATAGGAAATAAAAGAAAGAAAAAAGGGGGAAGGGTTTTTTCCCTTATGAAAATGAAAACTATCTATATGCATATGTACAATACCGGTGAATTATGTTTTTACTTCTTTTTTTTTTTTCAAAAAAATAAAGATTTCACCTTAGTTTCAATGTTTATTGGACAATTGACTAGTTTTGTTTTGTTTTTTTTCTGTTGCTGCTTAGTTACTGTCTATAAAGATTAAAAAAAAAAAGAAAGCAAAAGAAAAGAAGAAAAGAAAAAAAATTTATAATCATATACCAAATTCAGTTCATTTACAAACTAATCTGCGTATGGAGAAAAAAATTTTTGAAAAGAAAAAATTAATTAAAGAATAAAGAAATTCAATGGAATAGTGTTGTAATGATATTTGAGAAACTTCAAAATATTGAACAATTGAAATCATTGAACATTGAACAATTGAATTCATTGAATGTTGAACTATTGAACTTATTGAACATTGAACAATTGAATTCATTGAATGTTGAACTATTGAACTTATTGAACATTGAACATTTGAACTTATTGAACATTGAACAATTGAATTCATTGAATATCACATTATTTAATTTAATTCTTTTCATGTTTTGTATAAAATTTAAAATAAACCATCATAAATTATCATTAAATGAAATTGATAAAAATGAAAAATTGAATTTTAAAAAAAAATTAAAAAAATTATTACATCATCATAAATTCTTACGTTATACTATAGAAGAAGATCAATTTCGGTAAGTTTTTTAATGGTATCTGATTGAATTTTTTTTATTTTGCCATAAAATTGATTCATCTTTATTGATTTGTGTGGGTGGGCTGTGATACTGACTGGGTACCCAAAAAGATGTAGGTGGTTTTCTTAGAGGGTCACATTCAGAGCTTTTGACCTATATGTCTAATCCACAAGATAGGGTTAGGAGATGCAGTTGGTGACCGACAATAGGCTCATACATACACCATTTGTTTCTTCAGGATACTCGAGTCTATGTGCATCATTGATTCGGAATCATGGTTTTCGAACTTCTCTGAGTGAACCGTACGTTTCCACCAACTTGATTAAAGCGCCGGATATTCGCTTTTCGTTAACAACATCTGAGGTGCGAGAAAGCAGTGATTAGGGCGACTCTGGCAGTGGCTGTATACACGGGGCTGTGTGAGAGCATTTTGATAGGGAGAATTGACTCTCCACACCCTCGACTGTACAATCGCGTTTGAGGTCAAAACATTGCGTTTTAAAAATACATATATTTGTCAATTTTAAAAATTAATGTGGTGATTAGGAATTGTGCAACTAATAAGTAGTATATATCATCTGTTCTGATGTTAGATGGTTAGAAGTATTTAGAATTTCACTAAGTAGTTCATAAACATTACAAGTAGTGTTTATCTCAATCGCTATATATTTTCTTGAATATAAAAGCCACATAAAGACAGATAGATATACAGACAGAGTAAAATCATTATTTTCGGTTACTATCAATCAGATCTCACTCTAAAATCTATGTTCTCAGCCTAAGCCAATTGTAAATTTTCGGTATTATTATAGTTTTATAGTAATTTAATAGTTGAAGTCATGAGTCCCGGGTTCGAATCCCACGATCGGGATCGTGGATACGGACTGTTAAGGAGTTCAATACTAGGACGAAACGACTAACCAGTGCTTCCATGTTTTTTATTGTGATCTAGTTCTAATCAACTCGTCAACTCAACTATTAAATTATTTTATCATTGAATAAAGCCAATAATGGCAATGGAATTCAAGACGAGTATTTAACCTTTTTTAAAGTCCATTATCTGAATTTGCGTGTATCTCATTGTTTATGTTCACAATGATACCAAAACCTGATATCCATAGTTTTAGTCGTTTGACAAATGAGTTACAATAGACATCAGTGTATTCAGTAGGTAAGATCGTGGATATGCACTGCTGAGGTGCCCCATACTAGGACGAAATGTCTGTTCAGTGCTTGTACGTTTTCAATGGCGGTGTCTAACATCAATCGATTCATGATCTCAATAAAAAAACTTTACCATCTTCACAACCATCTACTGACAATTATCGTATTTGCACAAGATTTACATTTCCTTTGGTTGATAATCTTGTTTAATTGATCAAACTGTATCTACATTCAATATTGATTCATTCACCTAATGAGTCTATATTACTAGAATTGTTTACCGATGTATTCGCTAGTTAAAATACTCAAGAAATTTGTTCTGAAGACTTAATTATATTGGTTAGCTAGTTGATGTTCAGAATGTTACGAGTATAGACAAGTTGTGTAATGTAAGCAATTACCAATACACTCAAACACACTTTTAAGATTGGATATTTATGTTTACATAATTAGAATGACAACAAGTTCTTGTCAAATGAAAATCTATTGAAAAACCGATATCAGTTTTATCTAGTTATGGAATGTCAAACAACATATTTAAATCATCAGTTTATAGTTTTATTAAGTAGTATCTAATAGCCCATTGAAGATTTACAATAATCATTGAGGCTTAATTAGATAGAAAAAAACAATCGATTATTTGCAATTGACCTTAATAACAACATAGTAGATTAATTTTGTGATTGAAAGGTTATATCGGAGGTTAACAGAATGTAAGATTAGTCAGTCAGTCAGTAACAACGTAGAACTTCGTACGTACGTGTGTACATCAGTTCGAGTTGCCATACCACATTAGCACAGAGCTACAGTTGTCCATTCAAATCCCGTAGTGGTAGAGGCGGTAAGAGTATAACCAAGAATCGGAAGATGTTATTCAAGGAGTATAATCCAGTGAAATAAATTTGGAAAGAGAAAAAAAGGGACATGAAGAATTCAGATTAGAATTTGGGAGAACACAAAGAGTGGATGCACTTGCACCATTGCAAACGATTTTGAGCCACGTCATTCAAGGTCTCTAACCGTCGGTTGCTATCATCTCGCGGTCCCCAACCAGGTAGTCTACACCTAACAACATGTCATGTTTTTCGAGTACTTTGAAAGTACTTTTTGTTTTTCATGAACCGAAGTAACACATCTACACAAATACAATTACTTAACTCTTCAAACTTACAATCAAGTTGATTTGTTAGCCTAGTGATTATTATTATGAATGGATTTATTCAGTGTTACATTTTTAATAAAATATAGAATTCTCAGCACAAAGTATTTCAACAAGTCCCCGTTTCTTATTTTCTGATCGATCGTGACGATAACATATTGAGTGATCACCAGTTAGATGTTAATAGTCCAGTCAATAGACTTCTAAATAATTTACATTCTTTTTGATGCATATTACCAGTAACCACAATATCTCTGATTGGGCTCTTTCATAATTTGTACAGTAAAAGGTCTTGAATATTTCATAAAAGCACTTGAATAGGTTATGCGACTATTGGGAATAATCATATGTTAAAACAAACAAGAAATCAGATGACTTATTGAAATATCTAGATGGCAACAACAAATAGTTCAAATATTCAAACATGCCGCCTAGTTACACATCTATCAACCTTGTCAACATTACTAAGTGACAGTGAATTTGCCTGGTTTAGAGTATAACTTAAGTATATTAATTTACTTGTCTTATAATTAAAGCAAAAAAAACGGAAGAAACATATTCTAAAATGCATCATATACCGATTACATTATTGTTATAGTTTTGCTGACAAATTCTCTGTAGTTCTATTCCTTTAAGAATGTTATTATTGTCGAGTACGAAAGGCACTACTACTACTACTACTACTACTACTACTACTACTACTACTACTACTACTACTACTACTACTACTACTACTACTACTACTACTACTACTACTACTACTACTACTACTACTACTACTACTACTACTACTACTACTACTACTACTACTACTACTACTACTACTACTACTACTACTACTACTACTACTACTACTACTACTACTACTACTACTACTACTACTACTACTACTACTACTACTACTACTACTACTACTACTACTACTACTACTACTACTACTACTACTACTACTACTACTACTTTCAGCATCTTGATAATGTAAACTTTCACAAACATCTTCTGTTCATAATTATCTACGCATGAAGTTGAGACTTGTGGAACTAAATAATTTCCAAGATGAGATATTATTTCATCTTTGGTAATTGATAACGAATGAGCAATATCAAAAAATCAATGAGATTCCTACAAGTTTGAACATAATGAGTGCTGAATGCTGAACAATCCCATATTAATATAAAATAAATGCCTAGTGTTTAGGTGGCTGTCTAACTAATACCAGTTCATGATGTAAAATTTAATCGAATCAAATAATTTCTACAAACTTCCTTGTTCAGTTCCAATTAGATCGTGGAATTGAATGTTATGATTGCATCGAAAAACTATATACAAATGGTATTTCTATAGTTGAATTCATGAGTCCATTGAAGCCAGACCATCATGGAAAACCTGAAAGCACTGAACGGCTGTTTCATCCTAGTATGGGACTCCTCCGTGACAGTGCGCATCCACGATCCCACTCACGAGATTCGAACCCAGGACTTATGGGTCTCGCGAGCAAACACTTAAGCTGTAGACCACTGAGTCGGCCGGCATCCAACAGTGTTCATGTCTAACTTCAACCAATTCACAGAATTTTCTCCACTATCCATCATTATCTTTAGTAAGTTACTATCTCACAACAGACTTGGTTACAGCAAATAAATCAACAAATATTGATGCCAAATACTTTTATAACTGACATGGATATTGAAGTTTTTAGTTAAAATAACATTAATAGAATAAAAATCTTAAATCAATAATTAATTGATTGATTAACATATTGATCTTATGAAGTTCTTATTAGATAATCATGTTTTTCTATTGATTATTCATTCCAAATATAGAGAAATAATGAAATGACAAAAATTCATATTGTCATTGTGGTAGGGTATATGGTTTGACTCTATCTAAACCACAAAGACTGAACTGTTGTTCAGTCTCCAGAAAGTATTTGTTTAATTGGTATTCAATGTTTTGATGATTTGAAGTAATTTCAGGGTTGAGAGGATCAAAATTTCTGTGGTTTATTTTAGGCTTAATAGTGAATGAGCACTGGTAAAGTATCATACTAGGATGAAGTTTACGTATAATGCTCCATGGTTATCTTGTCTGTAGTGTAAATTACAAAATGAATGATCATTATAAGCTATCCATCCTAATGAATTTGAAGAGTGGAAAATGCTTAGCTTAGTTTTATAAGGTGTCACTGATTATATACTTTAGGTAAGAAGAATTCAATTTTATAGTAACTGATATAAAAATGTAATGAGTATAAGGTGATACATTAAATCATTTATCGGATTTAAAGAAACTTGGATGCCGTAGCCGCTACCTTAACGTGATGGTCAGGCTTGCCTATCGTAATGACCCAACCAAGCTATATTAGCTGGAACATATGTTCATTTATGTTCTATCATGCAAGGCAAATCGGTTAGAGAACGGTAAGACTAAAAGCAGCAGCTTAAGGTCGGAGGGCACTGTCGTACTGCTGACTGTAGAGAGGTGTGACAGTAGTGAAGTGTTTCCCTCAGACAACCAGCATCTGCAGCGATGCTGACTCCTCAAAAGGAAGGAAGGGGTTAGAAGAGGTGGACCCTAAAAATGTAACACCTTACCTTACCTCACGGATTTCCGTCTCTGGCGGTAAGGCTCTTTGAAGAGCGGAGCCAACACGTCAAAAACCTCCCACAAAAAGACC